CATTACATTAAAAAAGAGACCCACAAACAACAAAAAAAAAAACATACAACATCACCATGTCTTTACTTTTTGTGTTGAAAAAAACAAAAGAAAAAAAAAAAAAAGGGGAAAATTTCCAGAAGCTGCGCCCTCTTTGCAAAATCTTCGATACGCTCCTGAGGACATTTTTATTGTAAAATATAAAACGTTACCGCGGAAGCATACCCAAATCCTTTTTAACTGCTAAAAAAACATTGAACCTAAACCCAGACCATGATTTACAACTCAATCAACTCTCCCATTGGCTGAAGAGGCTTGCAGTCATTTTAATGGTTTTGCAGAAATGAGGCAAAAGCGAGACCCCAGAAATGCTGTGATTCTCCATGAGTAATAAATAAATATATGTACATTGGAAAAAAAAAAACACAAAAAACCCAAGCTCATTTGGACTCTCAGTTCCTCCCTTCTCCCTTCCTTCCTCTTTCCTCCTCCTTCCTTCCTTCCTTCCCCTTATCTCCTTTTTCATAAAGCACCTCAGAAAAATTTGCTTCTGGGCTCTTTCTGTGAAGTGGAAAACATGATTGTGCTACTGAACTGTGATCTGCTGACCTTTCAAAGGGCTATAAACAGCAAACTGACAAGTCATGCATTTTTCTGTTTTTTACCCACTCATCCAAGCTAGGCGTAGTCAAGTAACCATGGGTTTAAAAAAACAAAAATAAAAATGTGTGAAGAAATCAAATAAGTATGTCTAACTTATGGTATGTGAATTTCATTTAACCCCAGTCATTCCATCAGATTTTTAATCAATGCATTTATTTTATATATTATTTCTATAATGTGCATATTTAATAACAAATAACATTTATATAAAGTATGTTTAATATATTAAGTCTAGGCCGTGCGTGTGGCTCACGCCTGTAATCCCAGCACTTTGGAAGGCCGAGACAGGCAGATCATGAGGTCAGGAGATCGAGATCATCCTGGCTAACACGGTGAAACCCCTCTCTAACTATAAAATACAAAAAAAAAAAAATTAGCCAGGCGTGGTGGTGGGCCCCTGTAGTCCCAGCTACACGGGAGGCTGAGGCAGGAGAATGGCATAAACCCAGGGAGCGGAGCTTGCAGTGAGCTGAGATCGTGCCACACTGCACTCCAGCCTGGGCAACAGAGCGAGACTCCGTCTCAAAAAAAATATATATATATATAAAAAAAATATATATATATTATTAGTCTATTCTAAGAAGTTGATTTACTGAATTATTTCCTGTAATGCAGCAGAGTTAATTATATTAATAAGTCTTTACCTTCATAGTTTTTAGGATTAGGCACCCACAAAACCACTAGACAAAATAAACTCATTAGCAGACTCTACCTAAATATACACATGAATATAGTTAGAACTTTAAAGGAAACTTTATTTTAGTTTAAGCCAAAAGGGAAGCTCTTTAGAGTTAAACAAGTTTTTAACATAGTTCTTCTGCATATAAGGTTTCATAACTTTGTAAAGTAATGATCAACAATAAGATGATGATTAAAATATGCCATCTTACTGAATATTGAGTACTAGCTCATATAAATCTGGATTCCTATTTGAACTAGGAATCATTGATCACAGGATAAGCATTCAGCTCCAGTGACATCAGAAATTACCACAAAATCAGGAGGAGAACAAAGAAGGTTGACAATTAAGGACTAGAAAGTCAGCCAGGTGCCATGGCTCAAGCCTGTAATCCCAGCACTTTCGGAGGCCAAGGCAGACAGATTGCTTGAGCCTAGAAATTCTAGACCAGCCTGAACAACACAGAGAAACCCTCTCTCTATAAAAAATACAAAATTAGCAGGACATGATAGCACAAGCCTGTAGGTCCAGCTACTCAGAAGGCTGAGATGGGAGGATCACTTGATCCCAGGGAGGTCAAGGCTGCACTGAGCCGTGATCACACCACTGAACTCTAGCTTGGGTGACACAGTGAGACCCTGTATCAAAACAAAAGCAAAAATAAGAAAACAGAACAAAACTAGAAAGTCAGCATAAAGGAAACAATCAGAATGCGTTTCATAAAATACTGTGCTCTTGTGAGTGTTGTCACAACTTACACAATGGAAATGGATTCCCGAATCTCCATAGCCTGATAGGTCTGGTCAGAGACTGTGCACACCAGCAGGGATGGGAGTCTGTATGAAGTGATGACAACTAGTTCTTTTCAGCTTGGTTTCAATCTGGGTATCCTCATGAAAACAGGCTATTAGTTTTCTGCCTGAAGCACAAGAGTTCTGAAGATTCCCTTCCCGTACTCCCTTTTGGTCTCAGTTTCCTTATCTGCAAAATGAGTATAATGAAGAGAGCTTAGTTTACATGGTTGTTGAAACCATTAAATGACATAATTTGTATAAAGCACTTAGCGAAGTGCTTGGTAAATGTTAGCTAATAGATAAATATGGTAATATATATACATATAAAACATATAAGCTTAAGTATGTATCTTTCAATAGAAGGTGAACATAATAACCTTCTGTCCATATAAATCCCCAAGTTGCTTCTTGTAATGTATATCTATACACACACACACAGCACTTCTGTATCTTTGAAGCATAATTTAAAAATCATTGATTGAAGGACCTGATAACAGTTCTTTTTTTTGCTCATTATACATAATACATTTTTAATATTTCTATTTTAGTAAAAAACTGAATTTTTTTTTTATTTTGAAAGAAGCCAAAGAAATAATGTAAGTGAGGCCAGGTTTAAGACCAGAGGGAAGGATGGAGACTGTAGCAAACTGGAAAGGGTGTGTCCCAGTCAAACAGGCTCAGTCACCGCACAGCTCCAACTAACTTTGGTCCTGTGGGAAGGTAGTCTGTGTTGCCACTGGACTTTTTGTGAATACTCTTCATTTTTAAACATCAGCAACTAATTCCAGACATTTTTTAGACTTTGTATGGGATCGACAAAACGCATCCACAGGCTAGAGATAGCTCCTAGACCACTGGTTTTGTTGTAGACGAAAGAATGAATGTCTATTTATTTCAGGTCTGCCTTTCTTGAAAACCTAGAACCTTTGCTCTCTGATGAAATTACTTAAAATCATCTTTGCATGCTAAAAATGTTTGGCATATAAAGCAATGGGGGCTTTTTGTTTCATTTAACAGCTCTAGTAACATTTTATTATGTGTCTTCACATGAAGATTTATGAGAAAGAATGAAACTGAAGCGCCTTTAGTCAATTCCTTTTCCAATGCTCTGTGACAGGCCCCTTCATCGGCTTGTTCATTAACACCTGTGGGTGCCGCCAGACTGCGATCATTGGAGGGCTCGTCAATTCCCTGGGCTGGGTGTTGAGTGCCTACGCTGCAAACGTGCATTATCTCTTCATTACTTTTGGAGTAGCAGCTGGTAAGCATGTGGCTTTTTTTAAACTCGATTTTAAATGTTTTATAAGACATCTTGGCAGTGGATTTAATTGTGGAGAAGAGACCCATTAAAACATTCTGTTCTGTTTCCTCTATCCCACTTCACCCCAACCCCTCCCTACACTCCAGGAAATACATTTTAACATTACATTTTACTATGCCTTAAGTGGGGGAAGCCCACCCAGCAACAATACTTGGCCTCCCTAATAGAATCAAATTCTATTTCCATGCCTGGTTCTAAATGCCAGTGCTATCTCCAGTGAGGGACAGGAAAAGGAAGGCAGTAATGTTGACTTAGGTGAATGGACCAAAGATTAAGGAAATTACATCAGTGTGGTGTGGGAAATAAACTAAATAATAGGCCAGGGGCAGTAGCTCATGCCTGTAATCCCAACACTTTGGAAGGCTAAGGTGGGCAGATCACTTGAGGCCAGGAGTTCAAGACCAGCCTGGCCAACATGGTGAAACCCCCGTCTCTACTAAAAATACAAAAAAAAAAAAAATTAGCCAAGTGTGGTGGCACATGCCTGTAATCCCAGCTCCTCAGCGGGCTAAGGTATGAGAATAGTTTTAGCCCAGGAGGCAGAGGTTGCTGTGAGCCAAGATTGCGCCACTGCACTCCAGCCTGGTTGACTGAGTAAGACTCTGTCTCAATAAAAATAATAATAATAAAGCCTCCTGTGTGAAAATAGAAAATAAAAAACATAGATAAGTAAACATTAAAAAAACAAAGACTAAGGAAATCAATAACATTCATTTACTCTTTAATAATCATTTGCTCTTTTTTTTTTTTGAGATGAAGTTTTGCTCTTGTTGCCCAGGCTGGAGTGTAATGGCACAATCTCGGCTCACTGCAACCTCCACCTCCTGGGTTCAAGCAATTCTCCCGCCTCTGTCTCCCAGGTAGCTGGGATTACAGGCATGCACCACCATGCCCAGCTAATTTTGTATTTTTAGTAGAGACGGGGTTTCTCCGTGTTGGTCAGGCTGGTCTCAAACTCCCGACCTCAGGTGATCTGCCCGCCTCGGCCTCCCAAAGTGCTGGGATTACAGGCATCAGCCACAGCACCCGGCCTTATAATCATTTACTCTTTTAGCCCTGTTCAAATTCCTAAAATAGCATAAACCACACATATATGTAGAGACTAAGAAGCAAATCTAGAGTACAGTTAGGTTGTCATTCCCCCGTGAAGAGGTTAATATTGGCTGCCAGGTACCACAATCTGCATATCTATTATGCAAAATATATTCCCAGCCACAATTTCCTTTATCAACAGGTAGTGTGATTCACACAGATGAGTAATTACTTGTACAATTGCATTTTAAATAAACTGAATCTCCAGCTTGACATTCTTTTTGAGTACAGAGCTACAATGAATGTGTTAGCATAAGAGTTAAAAGTTAGCTTGGAATTCTGGCTTTTCTTTTTTCATTGCTATTATCTGTGTGACTTTGGGCAAGTTATTTAACCTACTTACACCTCAGTTTCCTTTTCTGCAAAATGGTTATAATGAAGAGCTTAGTTTACATGGTTGTTGAAACCGCTAAATGACATAATTTGTATAAAGCACTAAGCAAAGTGCTCAGTAAATGTTAGCTAATAGGTAAATGTGGTTTTATATATATATATACACACACACACATATATAAAAAACATATAAGCTTAAGTATGTATCTTTTGATAGGAGGAGAAAGTGAACATAATAACCTACTGTCCATATAAATCCCAAGTTGCTTCTTGTAATATATATCTATACACATACACACATAAAGCACTTCTGTATCCTCTGAAGCATAATTTAAAAACCATTGATTGAAGGACCTGATAACAGTTCTTTTTTTCCCTTATTATACATAATACATTTTTTATATTTCTATTTTAGTCATAATTGACGATGGTAAATATTTGTGGAGTAAAATGTGATGTTCTGATACATGTATATATTGTAGAATGATTGAATAAGGCTAATTGACATATCCATCACCTCACATACTTGTGATGAGAACATTTAAAATCTACATTTAGCAATTTGAAAAATATACAATATATTATTACTAAGTACAGTCACCATATTGTGCAATAGATCACTAGAACATATTCCTCTGGTGAAAATGGTTCTTTAAAAATATCAGATGTTGGCCAAGAGCAGTAGCTCACACGTGTAATCCCAGCACTTTGAGAGTCCAAAGCAGGTGAATGGCATGAGCCAAGGAGTTTGAGACCAGCTTAGGCAACATGGTGAAACCACGTGTCTACAAAAAATACAAAAATTAGCCACACGTGGTGATAGTCCCAGCTACTTGGGAGACTGAGGTGGGAGGATCATCTGAGCCTGCGGAGTTGGAGGATGCAATGAGCTGTGGTTGTACCACTGCATTCCAGCGTGGGCAACAGAGTGAATCCCTGTCTCAAAAAAAAAAAAAAAAAAAAAGTCAGATATTTTCCCTGAGTACATTAGAAACTCTTCCCTATAATCGTCCAATAATAGGGCTAGCACGGGGATTTTTGTGTTATAGGTGAGGAAATAAACACTCCTTTTGCTGAGACTAAGGAGCCAGGTTGGGGTGTCTGGACACATAGTGCAATCAGGGGAGGCTAAAGACAGCAGAGGTCCTCAGAGAAGCCATTCATTCTCCCAGCAACTTGCTAAGCACATGCTGTCTGTTCTGGGCAGTCCTGGGCATACCAGTGGTGAAAATACATGGTCTTGCCTGCCTGGAGCTTATATTTTTCTGATGTGAGAATGCGGCTCCATTTTGTTATTGGAGGCACTTGTGCCGCAAAGCCTGTTGGGAAAAAATGGCGGGCTAGAAACCTGCTTGGCTGGATGGTCTTCCTGCCGCTTATCCCTGGGGGCTGCTTTTTAAATAATCACTGTTACAGCTTTGTCAGAAATAAAAAAGCATAAATAGATGCTAATTAAGGAAATGCAAGTGATCTTTGCTGCAAATTCTGGATATGGCCACTGATGTTGCACCGTGTCTTTTCTTCCCCTGTCGGCCTGTGCAGGCCTGGGCAGCGGGATGGCCTACCTGCCAGCGGTGGTCATGGTGGGCAGGTATTTCCAGAAGAGACGCGCCCTCGCCCAGGGCCTCAGCACCACGGGAACCGGATTCGGTACGTTCCTGATGACTGTGCTGCTGAAGTACCTGTGCGCAGAGTACGGCTGGAGGAATGCCATGCTGATCCAAGGTGCCGTTTCCTTAAACCTGTGTGTGTGTGGGGCGCTCATGAGGCCCCTCTCTCCTGGGAAAAACCCAAACGACCCAGGAGAGAAAGATCTGCGCGTCCTGCCGGCGCACTCCACGGAATCTGTGAAGTCAGCTGGACAGCAGGGAAGAACAGAAGAGAAGGATGGTGGGCCCGGGAACGAGGAGACCCTGGGCGACCTTCAAGCCCAGGAGTGCCCCGATCGGGCCGGGCACAGGAAGAACCTGTGGGCTCTCCGGATTCTGAAGACGCTCAGCTGGCTCACCATGAGAGTCAGGAAGGGCTTCGAGGACTGGTACTCGGGCTACTTTGGGACAGCCTCTCTATTTACAAATCGAATGTTTGTAGCCTTTATTTTCTGGGCTTTGTTTGCATACAGCAGCTTTGTCATCCCCTTCATTCACCTCCCAGAAATCGTCAATTTGTATAACTTATCGGAGCAAAACGACATTTTCCCTCTGACGTCAATTATAGCAATAGTTCACATCTTCGGAAAAGTGATCCTGGGCGTCATAGCCGACTTACCTTGCATCAGTGTTTGGAACGTCTTCCTGTTGGCCAACTTCACCCTTGTCCTCAGTATTTTTATTCTGCCGTTGATGCACACGTACGCTGGCCTGGCGGTCATCTGCGCACTGATAGGGTTTTCCAGTGGTTATTTCTCGCTAATGCCCGTAGTGACTGAAGACTTGGTTGGCATTGAACACCTGGCCAATGCCTACGGCATCATCATCTGTGCTAATGGCATCTCTGCATTGCTGGGACCACCTTTTGCAGGTAAACTCTGTGAGGTTTTAAGAGCTCAGAGTGCATGTAGATATGGTGTGTTATGTTATAAAGTCCAAGATAAGAAGGAGGTTTCCATTTGTGCACATGTTCCTTTTATCTTCCCATTCGTGCCCCCTAATTTCTCATTTATACATTTGAGTAAGTTAAAGGCTATTCTTTCTTTTCTTTGGTTTTCTTTTCTTTTCTTTTTTTTTTTTTTGGAGACGGAGTCTTGCTCTATCGCCCCAACTGAAGTGCAGTGGTGCGATCTCAGCTCACTGCAACCCCTGCCTCCCAGGTTCAAGCGATTCTCCTGCCTCAGCCTCCCAAGTAGCTGGAATTACAAGTGCACACCACCACGCCCGGCTAATTTTTTATGTTTTTGGTAGAGATGGGGTCTCACCATGTTGGCCAGGCTCGCCTCGAACTTCTGACCTCAGGTGATCCACCTGCCTCAGCCTCCCAAAGTGCTGGGATTACAGGCATGAGCCACTGTGCCCGGCCAAGGCCATTCTTTTATGTAGAATGTAGATGAAATGTAGATGAACTTTCGATCCTATCCACATGATAAGGCAGTCAGGCTGGTAGAGTGAGGAAATAAAGCGGATGGGTTGATGGAATACTGCCGGGCTCCTTACCCATTTGAAGAAGGTGGCCTCTGGGCAGTTCCAGCTGATTTCTGTCACCAAGAAATACTGAGAATTGTTGCCAGATCTTCTGGGTGTTGTTTCTCCCCAAAGGGAAGCTAAGAATCTGTACTGTTAGGTAGCACTAACAGATTTCCAAAACACCATGTGGCAGGTGCAGCAGAACACATCCATGGACTCAATCCAGCCCTGCATTCGCTTCCTATTGTTGCTGTAATAAATTGCCAGAAACTTATGGTGGCTTAAAACAATGCAGATTGGCCAGACGTGGTGGCTCACACCTGTAATTCCAGTACTTGGGGAGGCCCAGGCAGGAGGATCACTTGAGCCCAGGAGTTCGAGACCAGCCTGGCCAATACAGTGAGACCCCATCTCCACACAGACACACACACATGCATGCATACACACAAGCACGCACACACACACACACACACACACACACACACACAAATACAGATTTATTATCTTACTGTTCTGGATGTCAGCAGAGCTGAATTCCTTCTTGAGGCTTTAGGGGAGAATTTGTTTCCTTGTCTTTTTCAGCATCTGGAGGCCACTTTCATTCTTTGGCATGTACCCTCTTGCTCCATCTTCTAAGCCAGCAGTGTAACGTCTTCCCACCTCTCTCTCTGATTCGGACTTCCTGCCACCTCCTTTCACCTTTTTTTTTTGAAATGGAGTCTCCTCCTGTCACCCAAGCTGGAGTGCAGTGGCATGATCTCAGCTTACTGCAACCTCCACCTTCTGGGTTCAAGCAAGTCTCCTGCCTCAACCTCCTGAGTAGTTGGGATTACAGGCATGCGCCACCACGCCTGGCTAAATTTTTTTGTATTTTTAGTAGAGATGGGGTTTCACCATATTGGCCAGGCTGGTCTCGAACTCCTGACCTTGCGATCCCTCCCACCTCGGCCCCCTGAAGTGCTGGGATTACAGGCGTAAGCCACCATGCCTGGCCACCTCCTTTCACTTATAAGGGTGCCTATGATTACATTGGGCTCACCTGATCCTATATCATCTCCCCAGCCCAGGTCCTAAATTAATCACACCTGCAATGTCCCTTTTGCCCTAATTAGGTCACATATTCATGGGGTAGAGAAATTAGGGATAGGAGCATTCTGCCTACCACAGGCCTGAAGGCCACTAGCTGGCAACATCTAGGATACGATCTCTGTCATGTATTCCCTTCATTTACAAGAGGCAAATTCACCAGAGAACTTGGTATTCGGGCATACCAGAAGCCTTGGGCATCAAGGAATCTTGTGTCTGGGCCAGTGCCTTTGTGGAAAGGCAAGTCAGGTTTGGGCAGGTAGACTCATGCCCCAAGACACCAGCTGCTGGGTGAAGATAACAAGGTCTATCTTCTGTCCAAGAACTGGAGATAGGAGTCTGCATAGCATAGCAAAGGCTGGGGCAGAATGCCAATACAAAGGTGCTCTCTGGTGGTGGCCCTCAGCCAGTCAGCCAGGGCTGGTAGTCATTGTCAGAGCTGCTGGAGGTTTTGTGCAGAGCCTCGAGCTAACCCACTGGAGCCTCACCTGTTCAGATGTCCCCTCCCCCAGCCACCCCCAAGCACCCTCCTGTCTGGGCCCTACAGGCTCTTTATTCTCATATCCTCTGGCAGGAGTATCTCTCCCCAGTGGGTGAAGGAATCCCATGGGTACAGGACAAAGCCCTCCCTGCCCCTTTTTTCCTAGTCTTTCTATAAGTCATAAAGTCACCTCCTCCCTTAAGACCCCCACTGGCAGAGAGCTTGTGCCAACAAACACGCTTTTAAATCCCCTTGAAATCTAAAGTACAAGAAATCACAGATTTTTGCCTATGCAGCAGACAACACCGGCAGTCGGCTGACTAAAGGTTTAAGGTCCAAGAGTCCCCTTAGGAATCCTCAGGGCTACATATAGGGCTCCTCCTGGAGCAAGCTGCTCCTGGTGTCTGCCTGTGCACAGAGATGCAGATGCAGCATTTTTAAGTGAAAATGGCTATAGCAACAGAGCAAACTATATTGGCAGTTGAAAGGTCTAAAATTGCTCACTGATCTCATGTAAAATTCTCTGTCAGGTCAGAATGCATTTGATTATAACATCCTGACAATGATGGTTTAAGCATATTTCTGTCACATAACCAGAAATATAGAGTTCAGGGACTGGAGGATGTTGGGGCAATGTCTCAGAGATCCTCTTGGCCGTTTCCTCATGCTAACTGCCTCATGGTGACATAATGGTTGCTGTATCTCCAGCCACTGCATCATCATTTATAGCAGGGAGAAGGAAGTGGGGAAAGGCTCAGTCCCATCAGAATTCCACTTACATCTGATTGGCCAGAACTATATCACACAGCTAGTTCAAGCTTCAAGGGGAGCTGTGAATGGACTATTTTGCTTTCCAGCCTCTGTACTAGAGGAAAGAAAGGAGAAAAGAATTGGGATTGGCAGTTCAATCAGCCAGCCAATGGTGCCTGCTAGAGATGTTAAATATCCATTGGAGGTATAGGGACCTAGTAGTTGCTCCTCTGCCCTCTTATTGGAGGTCCTTCAGATACATTGTATGCATAAATGGACTCGGTCACTGATGGTTCTTTGCGTGATCCAGGGGTACTTTCTTCTAATGGGCAGGCTCGGGTTGTTTTGTCTTGATCCATCAGATTTCAATGGCAGCATCACAACACAACTGTGAGGTGTGGCCTGAGTAATTCTCGTGATCAGTGTTAGTCAAAGCACCAGAGTTTGCCAGGATAGTTTCCTTATCCCATCCCTGTAGTCCTGTGCTGTCCATTCATCTGCATTCTAGCGAGCTTTCTTGAGTGGAAGAGAGAGGAATGACAAGTAGAGGACAGGGAGTTATACCCAACCCTCAGTCATCAGGTCTTATCTCTTGACTGCTTCGAGGTTCCTCCCTAGAGGTGGGTTCTGTAGTGGAATGGGATCCACCATGGATGATAGAAATCGTTGTGTTAATGGTTGGGAACCTTCTATGATTCGTATCATGTGGTGCTATGGAAACCCCAAAATCAACATTCGGATGTGCCTGTCTAGGCCAGCAAGCTAAAGGGGACTTTGTTTATTTGCATTTGTTGGTTTCTTCATCTTCCATTGAATTCATGCACTAAGGAATGATGAACAACATTCATTGGCTACCTGCATGATGTTTCATTTATTGACTTTCCAGACCAAGGAGCCAACATTGCAATGAGATGCAAGCCACCATTTATGTGCACTGTAGGCTCAGAGCGACTGGCAATATGAGTGACTAAATGACCACATTACACTCTTGCTAGAAATTCGAAGTGCACTAGAAATTATTGCTTAGCTGGGTTTGCTGCAAGGAAAATTACTGTTCACATTTCCTTTTTTTAAAAAAAAAATTTCAAGAATGTACAATCAGAGATATTGAACAGACATTTCAACCATGTCATTCAGCAGCATGGACTTCTTGATATAATTTATTTATAATATTGTTGGGTGTTTTGTTCAATCCCTTTAAAGATATAATATAGGCCGGGTGCGGTGGCTCACGCCTGTAATGCCAGCACTTTGAGAGGCTGAGGTGGGCGGATCACCTGAGGTCAGGAGTTGGAGACAGCCTGGCCAACATGGTGAAACCTCATCTCTACAAAAATACAAAAATTAGGCACCTGTAATCCCAGTTACGTGAGAGGCTGAGGTAGTAGAATTGCTTGAACCTGGGAGACAGAGGTTACAGTGAGTCAAGATCACGCCACTGCACTCCAGCCCGGGTGACAAGAGCAAGACTCTGTCTCAAAATTAAAATAAAATAAAATACAAAATTATGTAATAGTAGTACATACTTTCCTAGATGTTTCAGTGTATAATATGGCAAAACCTCAGCCACCAGATTTGACTGACCAATATTCCACACACATCTCTTCCAGTCACATAAAATCTAACACCTTAATAATCTGAAATGTTTTCCACCAAAAGCCAGGACCCTTATTTAATTAATAAGAAAAACAGCATTACTTATTTGACAGACTCAAATGAAAAGAAAATGTACTTTAATCGGGAACCAGATTTTACTTTGAAGCTATAGGTTTGAATTGGTGCTTGGATGAGGGTTGCCAAGAATCCTGGGTTGCCAAGAATCCCAGGTTCCAAATGCAGGAACTGAGGTCAGACCTCCAGGACGGGTGGTGAAGGATGCATGAGGAAGGCAGCTTGTGGGAACTGTCTTCTCTCTGAAAAAGTTGTGTCAACATGTGCTGAGGGTCAAAGCTCCTGGTAGAGTCCTGTCTCTCTTGACCTGCTTTACATCTGACTGAGTTTGAATTCAAACTAGCAGAAATATTAAAACAGGCACCAAAGGGAGATGGCAGGATCCAGAGTTATTTATAAATAAATCCTAAAGGTAGATTGGAGAAAACCTATGGGATTAACTTAACATGAAAGTTAGGACTACTCCTATAGTTAGTGCTATGTTAAATTGTTCAGTAAAGTTGGGTGTGCTTTTTTTTAAAAAAAAAAAAACTGACATGAGTTACATTTGAAGCTTGGGCATGTGGAGATGTTTTTACAAATATTTATATTTTTAGAGGAAAGAGGACCATTAAAAATAATAATAATAATGAATTTGGCCAGGCGCGGTGGCTCACGCCTGTAATCCCAGCACTTTGGGAGGCTGAGGTGGGTGGATTACCTGAGGTCAGGAGTTTGAGATCAGCCTTGCCAACATGGGGAAACCCTGTCTCTACTAAAAATACAAAAATTAGCCGGGCGTGGTGGCGCATGCCTGTAATCCCAGCTACTCGGGAGGCTGAGGCAGGAGAATTCTTCAACCCAGGGGGTGGAGGCTGCAGTGAGCCACGATTGTGCCACTGCACTCCAGCCTGGGTGACAGAGTGAGACTATGTCCCAAATAATAATAATAATAATAATAATAATAATAATTCCACCCAGAAGGGGGAACAGGACATGTTCAAAGAGCCAAGAGAAATGTGTTTGAGATGCTAACAAATTCAGCATGGCTTGTGCTGGTGAGCAGGGGAGAAAGCTAGGCAGGGGCCACATCACAGAGCCTGGAGCTTATAATCAACCCCTTCCACCAAAAAGTAAATAAATAGTCTGAATGAAATACAGCTTAATTTTCCAGCCAGGTGGGATTTTGTCCCATTTCTGAGGTCCATGTTAAGCAGCAATAATAGTTCGACTTGTTTCAGCCATTTGAAACAAAGCATTCAGGTGTTTGTTACTTAGAGTCATCATTCCTGCTCTCAATCACTTGATCATGTGGAAAGCGAGGATTTAGCCGTTAAAATGACCTGGTCAGCTTTCATATGGAGATAAGTGGACTATGGGAACCTCATTTGTATTTATTGATTTTTTTAAAATTGTAGATTACAGTTATTCCCATCACTACTCTGTTGATACAGATCACTCTGCATTATTTGCAATTGAATTGCTCATTTTGTCCTAATTCACAATTGTCCACAGTTGCCAGCTGGTAACACTGAGTAGAAGTTGGGTGTGTTTTTGTTCATAGGTCAGTGTCAATTGCCTTTCCATTCAATTCTGAAGCTGAAGCATTACTTTTGGATTATGTTTAATCTTTTTTGTCCCCCTTGTCTCCAATTATAGATTAAGAAAAGATGATAGAGCATTTTACTGAGCCACTTCTAAAGAGTCGGATTTTTTTTCATTTCTATTTTTTACATAAAATAACAAATACAGAAACTTGGTTTACTTTTAAAGTAGATACAAAATTCATACCTTTTAACTTGTTGCTTTTGTAAAAAAAATTATAGATTTGTATGCAATTGTTTGTTTTTCTTTATGAATGCCTTGACTGATCCCTGTAAATAGATAATCCAGGCATAGTCATCACACACTAGATACAATAAACAAAGAGATACAGATAACAACCGGAAGTCGGAGGGACTGGTTTACACCTTTCCTAGTTGCTTTTGTGTGGCTGTTTCTTGATAGGAGAAGTTTAAGTTGCATTTATGCACTCGTTTGCCAATTAGTTGTTTTAAAGATGTTTCTGAAAAGTGGCCACGGAATACTATGTTTGATCATAAAATCTTATTTTTTATTTCATTTTATTTTTTGAGACGGAGTCTTGCTCTGTTGCCCAGGCTGTAGTGCAGTGGCACGATCTCGGCTCCTCTGCAACCTCTGCCTCCTGGATTCAAGCAATTCTCATGCCTCAGCCTCCTGGGTAGCTGGAATTACAGACATGCACCACCACACCCAGCTAATTTTTGTATTTTTTAGAGATGGGGGTTTTGCCCTGTTGGCCAGGCTGGTCTCGAACTTCTGGCTTCATGTGATCTGCCCGCCTTGATCTCCCAAAGTGCTGGGATTACAGGTGTGAGTCACTGAGCCTGGCCATTAAATCATTTATATTTTAAGTCTTTGCTAATGTGCTTACTAAAAGGGGAAAAAATGACATTTTTACCATAAATAAAACTCTTGCGTGTAGCTCAATCCACTCAGTTTGCGTAGTTGACTATGTGGGAACCATGACTTGTGACCCATTCTTAGAATTAATCACTGAAATATAGGAAACTGATTTCATAGATTCTGAGACACGTTTTTCTCATATTTTAACGTCTGAAATTAGAATGCCTTTTACAAAGTCCTGAGGAAATACTGAGTCATATTTGAATTGACAAGAATATTTATTTTTTACTGATATATAAAATAATGGCACATCAGTGTCTTAGAATTCATGAAATATAGTGGTATTTTACAGAATGTCTAATAAGATGATTATATTAAGCTGTTAAATTATAATATTAAATTATTATTTGAAAATAACATAATTTAGTCAGCATCTTTGGCAACTTAGAATTTTATAAATGTAAATATTAAAGTTTTGTGGCTATAAATGTGAATTTTATAACACCTGAAGATTTTGATTCTTTCTAGAACAGATGTGTACCCTCAAATACTTCAGAATGAATGAAAGTTCAAATGTCTTCTGCCCAGCCTCTTTTGATACACACTAAAAACTTTAGAATCATTTTTGTAGGTTTTAGAAAAATTTGTGTTTGCACTTGTGAAAAAAGAAAATCATTGTATTCGCTTTTCACTACTGGCCTTGTGAGGGCCTTCGAGTGAACCAGAAGGTTCTCCCCATGAGTCAGCCGGGAATTGCTTCAAATGCCTTCCAAAGCAACCAAATGGCTTTATGAATGCAGCCCTCCCCAGGCACAGGGAACACTGGTGTATAGCACACCCTTAAAAATTGCTAAATGAGAACCAAAAAATATAAAAAACAACAAAAAAAAGGAAAAGAAATGGATAAATGAAACATTTTATTGGTATGAAATGACATATGAATTCTTTTAGAAACATTTATAGCAGCAATAAATGCCTGCTTTATATTCTTGACTTTTATTGTATCAACTCCATGACAGTGAATATATTCTTCTTTGTTTTGTAGGGTGGATCTATGACATCACGCAAAAATATGATTTTTCCTTCTACATATGTGGTTTGCTTTACATGATAGGAATACTCTTTTTACTTATTCAGCCGTGCATTCGAATTATAGAACAATCCAGAAGAAAATACATGGATGGTGCACATGTTTAGTATCATGTAACGTTCCGTGTGGGTTTCACTGTAATACTCATGCCTACCTCGCATGGTTGCTGTGAGGCACCTATGACAGGACGTGGGAAAGCATTTTGTACAGTGACTGGCACTGTCATTTGTAAATGCCATTGTCACAGCCTCATTTGTAAGCAGCACTGCCTCTCTGTTTGGGGAGATGTAATGCTGGAAGGTATTAAGGACTACATGCATTCTAAAGATGACAGTGTTGTTCAAAGACAGCCTAGTAAATAATTGGTAGAAATACCCTTATCAAAATCATTCTCTTGTCATCTACTGGAACTAGGTTTTTAAATACAGCTTTTAAAACACACACAGGGAATAAAAGCTTTTCAATTCAACCACTTCTTTGTAAGACAAAACCGAAGTATCTGTGTGCTTCCAGAAAGATTCCAGATCAATGGGTTTCAAGCACAAGAATATGACGAGATTTCAGAAATTAATTATTACAGGGAGCTATTGATCTACTAGCATCAAACAAAGGCAAGCTCTAATTCCACAGGTAATACAATTTAGTACAATTAAAGAAACACAGCTTGTATTTTTATGAGGGAATTCTGCAGCTAGGGATCGGGCTTCATAAATCCTCCTCTAAAAGAAGACATTTGCCATTAATCCTAATTCACTGTTATCCAGTTATAAATGGAATCTTGAGACAAAACCTTAACAAAGAAATAACAATAATGATTTCCTTAGCAGAAGCCGGATTTGTACGCACAACATTAAATAAAGGGCTACAATTCAAGCACTTTTATTCATATCATTGGCCTCTTAGATGATAAACATGATCTGGGGCCTGTAATATTTTTTTCTGAGTTTCTTCAGCCCAAAAAATGTAACATAGAACTAATTGCTAACTGACAAATAAAGTTAATAGTTAAATCATCTCCAAGGAATGTTGCTAATCCAAAATATAACACTATCAATTTGTGAGGGTAATAAATAGAGTGCCCTTAGTGTAGATGTCTGTGCCACACCTGACATTGGAGTAGTGATAACAAATAGCCCATCTCTAGACTCTTGTGTTGTTATGTAGACCATTCGCCTGAGTGTGGCACAGTTTTAAAAATAGTTCTCTTGATTGATTTCATACAGAAGATGACTGTGATCCGTGACATCTAATAATGCCCTTTCTTTATCTGAGATGTCTATTTTTCTTTTTTTTTTTTTTTTTTTTTGGAGACGGAGTCTCGCTCTGTAGCGCGCAGGCTGGAGTGTAGTGGCCGGATCTCAGCTCACTGCAAGCTCCGCCTCCCGGAGTTCGCGCATTCTCCTGCCTGCCTCCCAAAGTGCTGGGATTACAGGCTTGAGCCACCACGCCCTGCCGAAAAATTTCTTTTTTTTTTTTAGCCAAGATGGTCTCGATCTCCTGACCTTGTGATCCGCCCGTCTCGGCCTCCCAAAGTGCTGGGATTACAGGCTTGAGCCACCACGCCCGGCCGAGATGTCTATTTTTCTAAACCAAACGTTTTTCAGACTGTAGAATGTTCTTCCCAGATCGTTTGAAGTTTCTGACTGCCTTAGTTGTTTACAGATAGTTTAAATCTGTTTAAATTTCTACTCACAATTTGATCATCACACCCACACAAATCCTTGACTATCATTGCCAGTGTCTTAGGTCAAATTTATCTAAAGTGAATACAGCCCATTCTCAATTATCCTTGACAATTAGAGGCAGGAATGCTACTAGGAATTGGAAGCAAACAATGTCACCCCCAGCGTAATTTTAGCCAGCAGTTTCAGTTACACTCAACCATACCCTTCTGAGCTGTTAACAAGTCATTCAATGGACAAGTTCTCTTTTTGTTCCATCTCCATTATTTCCTGCTCTAATGTCTAGTGGGAGGGGTCGTATCATGAAAGGACCACCAAAATAATAAAAGGCAGCTAATGAAATGGAGAAACAAAAGCATGGTTAACATATACACTCAATATTACCTCCAATGACTCGGGAATTGCCTGCACATTATTATAGCCAATAGATTGCATGTCATATTCCATTTGGTTCAACACAACAACCTATGTGTTATCATTACAGCTTTGGCTGCTGTTAAAGAATCCAGCTCTCTATTTTGATAACGACAGTCTTAAAGCTGAGGCAATGCTCCCTCTTCTATCTCTCTCTATGTAATTTGCCATAGAATTAGGATGATTAGATTGAAACACATGTTATATGTTTTAAAAACTACATTGCTTCATTACTTTCATTTTCCGACAACATCAAATTAACAAGAGGCAGTGTTAAATATTTTAAATGGTGCTATAGCCAATGTATTTGGATGCTTGCACTGCTGGTTGTGTATCATCAATATAAACTTTTTATCCAATGACTCGACTTTAATTACATCTAAGTTAGACTTGTTCACGTTCAGTTTGTACAGTTGTGTGTTGACTTACTATGTTTTTGAAAGTGGCGACTTCTACCAAATGAGAAGTTCCCATTGTCAAAAAAAAAGAGACCTGCTTGCAGTATTCATGTTGACAACAGAGTAAAAGAGAATATTGTAAAGAATTACTGCAAATATTTCCTGTTTGTTATTTGCCGTTCTTTGAAGATATTATAAAAGGTTAATTGTATATTTATATCATGTGCTTTATCATTTTCCCTCATGTATCCAAGTAATTTTTATTTACGTATAACTAAATAAATGTTGTCCTCTTTGAAGACGGTCAGTGAGTTTTTGTGTAAGATTTCTATTTTGTTGGCCTCGAAGAGAATACTCCTAAAATGTAGGTGGTAATTATTTGTTTCATTCTTTCCCCTGAAAAACTATTTCTGTAGGTGCGTTCACAAACCACGTGGACAGAATCACTTAGAATGATTGTGAAAAGTGCTGCGTCTAAGTATTAAATTTAAAATGCACACATCTTTGAATCCAGCAATTGCATTTCTAACATCATTTTCTACATATGAACACAGACTAATATGTAAGGATTTTTTGTTTATCATTTGTTATATAAAAGACGGGGCTGGGTGCAGGCGGTTCACGAGATCAGGAGATTGAGACCATCCTGGCCAATATGGTGAAACCCCGTCTCTACTAAAATACAAAAAATTAGCAGGGCATGGTGGCATGCACCTGTTGTCCCAGCTACTCGGGAGGCTGAGGCAAGGGAATCGCTTGAACCCAGGAGGTGGAGGTTGCAGTGAGCTGAGATCGCACCACTGCACTCCAGCCTGGCAACAGAGCAAGACTCTGTCTCAAATTAAAAAAAATAAAAAAATAAAAGACTGGAAACAATTTAAATGTCTACCAATAGATAACCGTTAAAATATAGTATAACTGTTAAAGTACAGTATAAAGTATTTTAAAGTATAGACCTATGATAATACAGTGGAATTTGTAGAATTATTAAACAAAAAAGGCAGATCTATATGTAGAATTTAGAAACAGTCTGAAGATATAGTGCTTAAAAAAAAAAAAAGCAAGATAGGCTGGACGTGGTGGCTCATGCCTATAATCCCAGCACTTTGGGAGGCCAAGGGGGATGGATCACTTTGAGCTCAGGAGTTTGAGACCAGCCTGGGCAACATGGCAAAACCCTGTCTCTATTAAAAATAACAAAAATTAACTGGGCATGATGGTGGGTACCGGCAATCCCAGCTACTCAGGAGGCTGAGGCAGAAGAATCGTTTGAACCCAGGAGGTGGATTGCACCATTGCACTCCAGCCTGGGCGACAGAGCAAGACTCTGTCTCAAGAGAGAGAGAAAAAAAAGGCAAGATAAAGCAATATGTTTAATATTCCCCCAATTATATGTTTTCATTACCAAAAAAAAAGTCATTCATATATATAATAGGCTTAGACATGAATTGAAAATTGCTGGGAAGAAACATAAAGAAGCATAAGAAAACATTAACAGTTGTTGGCTCCAGGGAAGAAAATCTGTGGACTAAGGTAGGTCTGATTTTTTTTTTTTTCCTTATGCCCATAATGCTTTTTCAATTTAAAACTTGTATCCAAAATTATTTTGAATGCAGATTCCTGGGCCTACTTAAAACCTAGAGAATTAAGAATGGGACCAGTAAATCTTCCTTTTAGATAAGCTTCTCAGTTAATTCTTGTGCATATTAAAATTGCACACCCGGTCTCAACATATTTAAGGGCAAAATATTCCAATGAATTTCAAATACTTGTCCTGAACCTCTCTCGTTATTTCCTTTTATACAGCATTCTGGTCAATTACTATCTATGAAGCCTTCACAGTGTATAATCTTTTACTCGGTCCTTTTCCAGTCAGCAAATGTGGACTGTGGTTCTATAGGAGCAAGGCAGGCTAATGCTAAGCCCCTGCCCTCAAGCAGCCTGCATGAATAAGTAACCAATACTCCAGCGCAGGAAGAATGATAACAAAGCCAAGGGAAATGAATCCTGATGTGTTTAAATGAAACTATAGCCGGGCGTGGTGGCTCACGCCTATAATCCCAGCACTTTGGGAGGCTGAGGTGGCTGGATCCCCTGGCCAAAGTGGCTGGATCACCTGAAGTCAGGAGTTCAAGACCAGCCTGGTCAACATGGTGAAACCCCATCTCTACTAAAAATACAACAAATAGCCGGGCGTGGTGGCATGTGACTGTAATCCCAGCTACCTGGAAGGCTGAGGCAGGAGAGTCGCTGGAACCCAGGAGGCAGAGGCTGCAGTGAGCCAAGATCATGCCAACGCACTCCAGCCTGGGCGACAGAGCGAGACTCCATCTCAAAAACAAACAAAAAAAGATGTAATAAATAATATGAAAGAAGGAGGGCTGGGTGTGGTGACTCACGCCTGTAATATCAGCACTTTGGGAGGCAGAGGCTTGAGCCCAGGAGTTTGAGACCAGCCCAGGTAACATAGTGAGACTCTGTCTCTACGAAAAAGTTTAAAAAGTTAGCTGGGTGTTGTGGTGTGCACCTGTAGTCCCAGCTACTTTGGAGGCTGAGGTGGGAGAACTACCTGAGCCCAGGAGTTCAAAGCTGCAGTTCATGAGCTGGGATCACATCACTGCACTCCTGCCTGAGTGACAGAGTGAGACTCCATCTCAAAAAAAATAAGAAGTAGAAAAATTCAATAAAACAATTAAAGAACTAAAGAACTTTCACTAGGAATGACCACTTGTCAAATGAAAGATACAGACTACAAGGGCTGGTGTTACAGTTCTGAAACTTGGGTTTCAAACACAAACAGCTTTAAATAGTGATTCCTCTAGACCTGTAATAAACAAATATGCCCCACCATTGGTATAAATTTCAGAAAGAAAAAAACCAGGAAACAGGAATGTTTGCTATTAACCCAGCTAAAACCTGATAAAAATATTTTAAGAGCTGTACAGTCGAAAGTACACTTAATTAAAACCGATATTTAGGCTATATATGTATACGTACATTTATTTGAGTCCTCTGTTCTCTCTGTGACAGCTTCTCAGTCAACTGAATTTCTCTCTTCTGAAACCCCTGCTAACTATATGTGCTCCCTCTGTTTCTCCTTTCGTTGACATGATTTTTTGCCAAGGATAATGTAAAACCTTCTTGGCCATTTGGAAAACAAGATCTTCTGAAACTGGCTACTCTAGGACTTGTTCTTCCATTTACTACTGTCTCTTCTTCCTCTTGCCACTTTTGACACCAAGAAAACTTCTAGCAGCCCAAGGACCCTTCAGGAATACAGAAAGGACACCACAGACTCCTCCTTTTTGGGTAGGGTACCTCTGTTTTTCCTCATGGAGCCCCAAGAATTGTGGGGTGGACAGGCTCCCCTCAGTCTAAAGCTCTACTCTTTTTTTTTTGTTTATTTTTGATACAGTTGCACTCTGTCACCCAGGCTGCAGTGCAGTGGTATGATCTTGGTTCAAGGCAACCTCTGCCTCCTGGGTTCAAGCGATTCTCCTGCCTCAGGCTCCTGGGTAGCTGGGACTACAGGCACGTGCCACCACACCAGGCTAATTTTTGTATTTTTAGTAGAGATGGGGTTTCACCATATTGGCCAGGCTGGTCTCAAACTCCTGACCTCAAGTGACCCACCTGCCTCGGCATTCCAAAATGCATGCTGGGATTACAGGCATGAGTCACCTCGCCCAGCCTAGCTCTACTCTCTTTTATATTGAACTCCTTGATCTTTTCAGCTTTCAGATGCATACATGTGTATGTGTATGTGTATTATTAGTTATATGTCGTGTCTACATATATGTATATGTCTATACTTGTGTTTGGATATTGTCTACATAGTATCAAATTGA